CATAATAAATTTGAGATTTCAATAATAATAAATAAGTTTCAATAATAATTCACAATAATAGTTTTCAATAATAGAATTTAATAAAATTCTCAATAAAATGCAATAAATTCTTCAATAATAAGCTTTCTCAATAATAATCTCTTTCGATAATATATATTTTATATACTATATAAGCTGCATACACCAGTAATACATTCAATAATAATTCTCAATAAATCTCAATAATAATTTTCAATAATAAATCTCAATAATAAATCTCAATAATAATTCTCAATAATATTTTTCAATAAATCTCAATAATAATTCTCAATAATATTTTTCAATAAATCTCAATAATAATTCTCAATAATATTTTTCAATAGTTTCAATAATAATTTTATTACAACTCATATGTAATATTAAAATAGGTTAACCTGGTATGATGTAATGTGTACGTACACGGTCTTGATTTGTTATATTTTATAATTATAATCGTATGCTTACGCCAAGATGACTCGTGGAGTTGTCATATTTTAAAGGATGTAAGTGAGTGTTGATTGATGTTGAGTGTTGATTGAAGTTGAGTGTTGATTGAAGTTGAGTGTTGATTGAAGTTGAGTGTTGATTCCGCAAAGAAAAGTGATCAATTTTTCTTTAATGAAATTGACTCAAAATTCCAATGAACGATGTTCGAAGTACCGACTGCGCCACTGTTACGTGGTACCCAATAAAAACAGGTACCTATCGTAATGATGTTGTTGGATCGGGATAAATTTGATTAAACAATTATTTCAAACACTTGTAAACACTTTAATAAATACAATTACAGAAACAGACATAGATACAAAAATATAAATTATAAATTTACGCGTTAACAATATCGAAGACGAAACTCAGAAGGGCTTGGTCTGATAGCTGGACACGTCTGCCGTTGGTGTTGAAACGGAGCCTTTATATACTCTGTTGATTCTGTTTTAATTGTGTTGTTTTCGACACGTGGCTGTCCTTGGTCTTGGTCTTCATATCCAAGTGATGTTTCATCACGTGGTTGCCCTTGGCCTTGATTGTCTTATTCGAATGATGATGTTGTTGTGGTTGTTTGAAATTCGCGCGTGGCGCCCATTAAGGTTGTGCAATAGTACGTTTTTCCTTATACGACTCAGGAATATGCGTACTATTATTTCTCAATAATATATGCATATTACACAGAATACAGATATCTTACTTTCACAAATGGATCAGTTTTTCTTGTAGATACAGTATCTACTTTAATCACAAATTTCACTTGAGCTTTGCAACTTGTGTTTTTAGACAGTCCTCTTTTGTTACTATCTTTATTGACCTTGTGATACGAACTATGATGGCACACAAAATTTTTTCTACATATTTAAAATAGTGTAAAGTTCGATTAAATACCAAAACATTATAAAAAAAAAAATATTATAATATTCACTAACTTGCATTGAATGTATTTTCCCTTTGGAACTGATGATCGAACGTTCCACTTAGTGGCTGTAAGAATTGAAAATTCTTCCATCCACTTACCTATACTGGATAAATCTACTAGATTTGAACGTATTTTGGTTACTTCGTTATTTGTTTCAATAATTAAATTGTTAAAAGAAGAAGGAAGATTACTAGAATTTAGTTTAAGATTCATTTTCACAAAAGTTCAAGAATAAAAGAATATTGAACATGTCATAATCATTTACAGAAAATTGAACTTAAAACAGATAACACAACTTAGAAAACAAAACCTTTTTTATCATATTAGAGAGTTTATGTGACTAAAAATAGAAATAATTTAATTGATAAAAATGTTCTATTCATTTCTAACTAACTCTGTTTGTTATTATGTTAATAAGTTAAAGTAATAAATATTTTTTATAATAATATTAAATTATGAACATATTATATTAAGCTATAATTAATTCCTTAAACCTATACTAAAATATTACAACTATAGGTACTTAGTTTCCTTTTGAGTAGGTTACCTATCATATTTCATTTTTATATTACCTATCCAAATTAATAAAAGTAATTGGAATACATGGGATATTTTGTAAACATCAAGATATAGATTATAAATACTTTAATTAATATTAATTAAATTAATCTCCAAATAATAATTAATGTAATTAACAATAATTAAATTAATTAAGTTAATCTCCAATATTAATTAAAATTGCAGTTAACTTTCCTCCCAACAGCAAACACGACAATAGCTACTTATGCAGATGATACAGCAATACTCTCTTCCAATTCACACCTCATTCAAGCTATTTCCAAAATCACCTTAATTTATTAGACACCTAGGCAACCAAGTGGAGAATTTTAATAAATCCTGATAAATCTTTCTATGTACCATATACACTGCCAAAAAACAACCCCCCCCCCTCGTTTCAACTTCAAGGAGTCGAGATTCCTACATCAAATCAGGTAAAATACTTGGGAATTTTGCTAGACAAAAGATTGACATGGGGATCGCATTTAAAGTCCAAACATAAAATCCTTAACAACTGCGCCTTCATTTACTTAGGCCAATTCTCAAATCTAAACTAACAATACACACTAAGTCCACATTTTACAAATCTGCACTCAGACCCATTTGGGCGTATGGTATGCAAATCTGAGGGTGTGCCAAACCTTCTCAACACTATCCAAGCTTCCCAGTCCATCACTCTCCGGCTAATAGCCTCGGCCCCTTAGTACGTAACAAATGAAACCATGCACAAAGATTTAAGACTGCCAACAGTGGACCAACTAGCTAAGTTGTACTATAATAGATTCCACTATAAACTACAACACCATCCCAATCCTTTAGTCACTCACTTAGCATCACGTACCTTCTCTTCCTGACAACCCTCCGCGACGACTCAAAAGAAATTGGTGACGTGACCTATTATTAAATTAATGAAAAAATAAATAAACCACTGGAGGATACCATCGCTAGATGATTTCCCTCATCTTGTGCTTCATGTGTTGTTTTATTATGTATATAGTGTTATGTCAGTCATCTATTTTCTATAATAAAAAAAAAAAACTTTTCTCCGGTAACCATGGAACACAAATATTTAATTGCAAAACTGGCATTAGGTGAAAAGGTACCAAATAAGACATTTTATGAGGACCTGATAATATTGATTATGTTAATGATGCAAATAAAAAGAATTTAACAGAAAATCCCAATTTACAAAAATACATTATAATTTGAATTTGGCGCTAAATATGTCAGACCAATGAGAAGGCTGTACGGGGCCTATGGGTTTTATTTGATGTGCGGAATGTTAATATGCGACCGGTCGAATGTCTACGCGTGTGAGAGCGGGAACGACGAGTACGGCGTACACGTGCCGTGAAAATGAGTTAATTGGATATGATATCGTTCGGTAACAACCGAAGACTCGCAAATCCCGATTAAGGCCAATTTATTCTCTATTTCCGTCGTTAATGACACTCGTCGTCGGCCACCTCGCACTTATCGGGGATTTTCCTAACTAGCGAGCTAAATTAGTACTTTTCGATTTAGCAAAATCTTACGTAAGTAACTATTTTATGTGTCACAAAATAAAAAGTACTTACGATTTCGCTGTACACGTACTTGACTGTTTGATTCCTCGGAGAGCCAATTGTCACGTAGCACACCACAAATTAATAATAATAATAAAAAAAGAAATAAAAATGAAATATATATATATTAATATGAAAATAAATAATAATAATCCAAAACAACTAAATAAACTTTTAAAAAAAGGATAATAATGATAAAAAGAATAAAAATTATTGTAATAACAAATATAACGAAAAACAAATGTCAAAAGACAAAGGCAAAATCACACGCAAAAAGAATGTAAAAGGCCACGAAGACGGCAGAAAGCAGACAAGCGGTCGTCACACCGTCCGCGAACGCTTCGGGGTTCATCGCCGACTCCGAAAACTGGTTCGATTATCTATCGGGCGTCCCGATTGATAATCGAACGAATGGTGACACCAAGGCAAAGGGGTGTAACGGGTGAGATCACGATATTCGTGTGACACGACCGTGTCAATATGTCATTTAAATTCCCCCTTCATAAGAAAATTGAATGTACATCATTGAATACATACATAAATTAATTACCTTAAACCTTATTGCATTTGTAATAACTGAAGTTACATTAGACACATGCCAAATATTAATATACATATTTATATTGTCAAATATGATTTAGAGATTATATTAAGAAGACACTCGCATCGCGAAGCCAACCAGTGAATGTATGGGTTGGGCACTGCAAATGTAGATACTTTCAAAGGTGATCTTAAATGTTAAGGTTATTAGAAACCGTGTCCGGGTCAACTATTCCATAGGAACGGTGTATAAAAGGTAGTCCCGTACAGAACAATATTCAGATGTGTTTTAGTTCGATCTTAGTAAACACTCACGCCAGTATAATTGTCAATTTTATTAAATACTTATAATTAGAATATTTTAATAAATACAGTTTAACTTGGTTTGAGTATCTCTATTGAAATTATCATAACAAACATCCATACATGAACTGTAGAATTGACTGCACGCAATGAATTAAAATTAACCAAATTCATTCAAATTTAATGACTTACTGAAAGACCAGAGAAACTAACCACACATAGTAAAGCAAGTTAGGTTTCATTTTACAATATGTATATGGTAATACTAGTAACGAGGAAAACATTTTTAGCTGAAGAACAACATTAAGATTTTAATGACTAGTAAATATTATGAATTTTAATAAAGGAATTGCAGCAGAAATTTAAGTTAAATTAGGCCTACCTTGTAAAACTATTTATGAAATACTGAAGAAATATAACTTAAAAGTAAAAAAAAACATGTGTATAATAGTCAACTTGATTTAACAATAACTATTTGTACATATTACAAGATAAAAAAAACAATAATAAAATTAGTTTACAATATATAAAAACAATAAGATTTGTAATATTTTATAATATATTAGGATATGACCGGGTTTGTCGTTGAACATAACCATCATTACGGTGACCTGTTCTCCTCAAAAACATCAATAAGTCACCGTTTTGATTCAGCTGCTGCACGCATTCTCTTATTATTATAGATGTATTTTCCCTCTCTTTTTTGCATATTTAATTTCTAACCTAGTTAAGTACATACAATTTAAAGAAATTAACCATTATTGAAAGACAAAAAATTAATTATATGTATAAAAAAAAAAAAATCAAATTATTACTTTAAAGCCATCTTTGCACTGTTGAAATTCTATAAAGATGTGATTCTCAACAACAATCAACAATCAGCTTTTCTGTTGAAAAAAATTAAAATATTAGTATATTTTAGGGTTAACAATTAAAAAAACATTTTATTATCATGCAAGTATGACTAACATACAATTAATTAAGCATACCTATTAGACATACAATTAAGATTTATAACAATACATTCATAATAGTAATAGTATTTGAAGTAATAATTATCAAAACTACTCAACACCAGATTAAGCATGTCAAGGCAATAGCGCAGTTAAAGCAAATAGAGAAAATATTGGATAATAAAAATAAATTATATGTAGTATTATATCCAAAATAAAATATCTAAAATACATATTAGTTTATCTGGCAGGTATTATCATAATAAAATGTTATTTAACTTTGTATAATGAAACCAACAACATACTAATTGACTATTTGGAAATAATTCCCTGATAGCATTCATAAGAGCTCGTTCATAATCAGTGACAAAACTGATTCTATTATAACGAAGAGGTAAAATATTGCGTATTACTGTTAATAATGAAGAGTAAGTTTCTTGTGTTTCACTCCTCAAAAGGGCATAGACCATTGGAAATGCCTAAATGAAAAATAAAACATGAATATTTTTCCAAACATTTGTTGACCAAATATCCAGCAAAATATTTAGTTGAGCAAGACTCTAGTGTTGGAGTTTTTTTAATAACTGAAGTTATTGAAACAATTGAAGATGGTGAATTATAACTAGAATTTGAATCAGTTTCTCGAACTTCTGTCTGTATTAGGGCTATGCAATTATTTTTATTAATCGATTATTTTAATCGATTATTTGATTAATCAATTATTTTTAATGAAGGATAAATAATCGAATAACCGATTAACCGATTATTCGATTAATATTCGAATATAATCGAATAATCGAATAACCAAGCATAACATTTCAAAACAAAAAAATAAATAGGTATAGGTATTTTAGTTAAATATAATAATAATATATGTCTTCCTAATGGCATTGCTGCCGCCGAAGATTATCAATTTTTAAATAAAAAAAACAAATAATATTAAATAAAAATAAAACAATAATTATAAGTGTTGCATGTTTGCGCGGGTCTACCAAATTATACAATGACATTTTATATTTATAATCTAAATAAACTGATAATGATTATGGTTAATTATTAGATGCTATTTATATTTTAT